TTAGGGTTTAGGGTTTTGGGTCTGATCCCGGGAGTCAGGACACCCATCAAGCTGTTCCTGAAACATGGAAAGGAGGGTCGAAGTCCTCAAAAGAGACGAGCGACAAGTGAGTATAGGGGCCTTGATAATTAGAAGNNAAGTATAGTAAGGAACCCCCAAAGTATCGGTGAGTACTTGGGGCCTTATAGCAGTGACTAGTGATTGGTATGCAACGACAGCTGCAAGGCGCCATGGCCGATCTCCGCACCCCTCCCCGCGGCACACGACTGCCACCATGAGTTCCAAGAAGCCAAAGCCTTTCTCTCGTGACGTCCTTCTCAGAAAGAGCGGCCCCAAACAGAACCCTTAGCAGATCAGAACTTTTTGAAGAGATGATCGAAAACTCTGCGGCTACTGCAGGCATCTTTACCACAAGTGAGCCTCTTTCAACTCTGTCGGAATTGTTGCAGTTACCCCAGCAAAGACGGGAAGGTCCTGTGGGCACCAGCCGCCACATGCTGCCCAAGGCTTTGTCGGCCACCTTCTGTCAAGGTTTGGGTGGGAGTTGGGAGTAGATGTAGTACTTAGGATGTTGAGTGTTATGCTCAGGATTTCTGGCTTTGGGTTGACTTGCAGTTTCTGGTTCAAGCTTGTGGCCTCCACTGCGCTTCAACCCTAAACGCTGCAGAAGCTCCACTGACAAAAACCTGCCATCCCTACCCCAAAAATCAAAACAGGCCTGTCGAGCCCCTGAACCTTGACCCATGCAAAACCTCTACCTCAGATGCCTGAAATTCCTAGAAACACTCAAACCGAGGCTGGTGGCCTCCCACCGCGCTAAGTGCTCCCAGGAGCCTCCCGACAGCTGGGAGAAGCGACCTTAGCGCTGCAGAAGGCTTCCACACTGGTTCTGTAAGAAGGTTTAGTGTTAAGGCTTTTGGCTTTGGGGGCTTGAGGGTTAGAGCCAAGGACGCTAAGGATTCTAAGGCTTCGGTCTTAGCCTTTGGGGCGATTGCTACCCCTAAACCCTAAACCCNNTAAACCCTTAATCCCAAAACCCTGAAGCTTAAACACTAACGCTAAATTATGGTACGGTGCAGGGTTGCCGCTGTAAGGCTTCACATGTTTGGCCTCATCTTTGAGACCTGAAAACCTCTACGAAGCTCAGGGTTTGGGATTTAGGGTTTAGGGTTCTTTGGTTTAAGGGTTTCCTAGTCTCCCATGGTCCACCAAAAAGTTCCTAACCCTATAGTGACCTCAATAGCTCCACATAGTTACCCTAGCCATGCGAACCAAGCCCTTATGGGAGTCCTCGCCACTGCAGCATTATCAGCCCCTGCTGCTTCCGGAGGCACGGGCACGACGTACTGGGTGTAGGGTCGGGGGCTTAGGACTTGGACTCGCGACTCGGACGAGGAAGGCGAGGCTTGTCGAAGTTCGTAGGGTTGAGGGTTCAGGGGTTGGATTCTGGCGTAAGGGTTTAGGGTTTAAGGGTTAGG